CATACCCTCCAACTTATGAAGATTTTGAAAATAATTCTTTCTAGTGGTAGCGAACCAAAGTAGAAATTTTTAAAGCAAATGGATCTCTCATAAAACTTTTATCAGAACTTAAGAATCTAGCCATATGGCCTGCACTTTTATAAGTAATAGTGGACAAGTTACGCTAAAATTAATTTTTTTTAAATATTAAGACATTAATTTTGCTACCGTCTGAAAAGAAGATTTCTGAAACTACGGAAATTCCGTAGCAGTTGGAGGGTATGCCTTACACCAGAAAGCACAAAATAATATTACTGCAATTAGAATGAAAACTAAAATTTTTTTTATTGAGAAGTAAAAATTTCAATGGAACCGTCTCATTGCAAAAAAACAAGCCCCCACACGGTTTCTTATAAGTAGTCTGCGCAGATTATTTAAAAAGCGAACCACTTGTGCGCATGAACCCAAATTCTATTTTAAAAGTACTTGAGAGAAATCTATCATATATATTTGAGAATTGAATCTGTAGTGGTTGACAAGTAAATAAAACAAACCAGTTATATTCATTAATTAAAAATTTTTAGACATATATTTGCTACCACTTTCTAATAGATTTCATATTAAGTGGTTCTTTCACTAATCGGACTGTCTACAAAAAAGCGTGTGAAGGCTTTCAGTTATGGGAGGCGTTGGTATAACCCAATCAATGCTAAAGTTCCATGTAGTCTTTTCGAAAAGATTAAAACTGGTAGCTCAATTGTTTCATCCTCCATATTTTTCTGGGAGAAACAAAACAGTCGCATTCAGAAAAATTTATTTAGAAATTTAAATAATATTTATGTAAGGATCCAGGCCTGAAAGTGGGACGATAAAGAGAAAATACTGGTAGAATAACTATTTCAATATTAGATATTATTCGGGAGGAGTTATAGTATTCTCAATAACAACAATTAACTGTAATGAAATTTTTCACGGCTATGAAGCAATTCAATATAAAAAATTGTATCCGTTAAAAAAAATTGCTAGTTATAGATTTTTATTATTCACGAAAAAAAAAAATAATTAAATTTATTAGATACCAATTTTTATTCTTTTTCGTCTCGATATATATCGGCTTTCAGCCCTGTTAGGATCTCATTATTGTGATACTGAATAACTAAAGTCAACGCTCGAAAATTTCCCATCAAACTAATTATCACTTTTCTCAAAAAGGGCTTTAAAATTAAATGTTGTATTTTCACAACTGTAGATTTAAATGGGTTAACCGGTTAACGCCCAGCGTCATATATTTTAGGACAGTTCCTTTTTTCAAAGACATTCATTGTGGTAGGAAACTTTTTTCAGTATTTTCCTTTATCTGGGTGTATTAAAAGATTCTCAGATACCACAATGATTTAGTTATTTCTGATTAGATCTACAATTCTAAGGAGCAAGTATTTTTTGATCTATCGAAGACTTTTAGAAAGACCTAACAGTAGAAAAACCAATTAATTTCGATAATATATTATACCACTTTTTGTATCATTTCAATTGATAAATTTGGGACAAAACGGGTTAATATATATTTTATCTAAAATTTTCAAAAATAAATAATTTACTCCTTTAACCTAAGGCTCCTATACTATCAGAGCTGACCTATCAAGCAATATTGGAGCAAACAAGTTCGCAAGTTAACGTTATTTTAGTATTCGTTATGTTATTACAGAAATGCCAACTGCTGCAACCACGCCAAAATAATTTAAAAAACGATAAATAACTACAAAGTGAATTTTGCAAATAGTTGACAATATTTGCTTGCTTTTAAAAATGTAAAGCATGTTTTAATTACTGTGAAGTGGTGAATTATATAAACCTACGCATTGTTTACAAATAGTGGTGGATTAAAATCTAATAACTCGAACTTAAGTAACCAAGAATTACAATTAATATACTACCACTTGAAAATATTTATTCGATGTGCTTATGCTAGCTCTTTGCTCCAACAATAAATGATAAGTCGGCCTGTCTAATTCAGGGGCTCTACTTTAACCCATTTACGGCCCACAACGTCGCACGCCGTCCAAGTTTCTTGCAAAAAGATTAAATCTGCTAACTCATGTCTATTTTTTAAAAAAATTATTTCAGTGAAACAAAAACATTCGTATCTGTCAAGGTATATTAATATTAAAGAAGCTTTATTTAGAAATATTAGAAATGACGAAAAAACGGCGTATTGGATCAAAGTATCATTCACCAATTCATCGATTCATTATGGCATATTAATGTATTTTTATCGATTCATAATTAAGCATTAACATATTTCTATGTATATAACATTAACTTTATCATTTTTAAATTCCATAACGGGGAAAATAGTCTCTGTGCAAAGTGAAGTTGTGCTTGAAAAACTTTTCTTGGGGGAGAAGGAGATCCAAAGAAGTTAGCAGTTTAGTTTTCTGACAATCAGCACACTTCGATGGCTATCTTTCTGAATAGTAGACTGAACTTTTAGAAATAATAGCCATCCGCACATTTCACGCACCTTGGTGAACCATTGCATTTACAAGTGTTATTCAAAATATTGGAAGCACTTCTAAATACTAACCCTACGTAAACAATCTTTCATTCAGCAACTAAAGTTTTGGAAAAACTTACATGACAAAACTCTTGACACAATTTAAACGAAAATGCTTGAAGATAATAGAGAGGATAGCATTTTTACCCTTGCTAAGTCTGGATCTATCAAAGTGTATAAATAATCCTTTTAATAATTCTCCTATAAAAATAATTTTTTTTAGCTGAAACATCACTAAAATTGATATAGTGCAGATAATTCTGGTTTTATAAAATAATTTTATTTTCATATTTAAAGTGGTAGCGAAACTGGTGTTATTTCATTAAACTTTTTGAATGATAATAAAAAATATTAAAAAGTCTGACCACGCACTTACAAATAAAATATTACAATAAATATATAAAACTATATATAGTATAAAATTATAATAGTCTTTCTGAAGGCGAATTTCACACTGGTCAATAAGTAAATATATTTTTTAATAATAATGTTTCTCGATATATTATATTTAAGAATACTTTTCCAATATATATTTAAGAATACTTTTTTATTTATAGTTGATGTTTGAAAAGAAATCAACTATTAATTTCATACATTCATTTCGGCCAATGTTAATTTTTTGCTTGCCTAAAAAGGAAACCAATTCTGAAAGCTTAAAGCTTGATATTTCATATTGTGTTTCAGTGTCTATAACTAACATCGGGATTGGGTACTGGGTCGATGATTCGAATCACAATCTGGCAACTTGATTCGAATCAATTATTTTAAACGAAATAGATTTCAATCATAATAAATAATTGCTTCTTAAATTAGAATTAGCTTTGTTTCACAGTGATGCTATGTTATACATAGTTAAAAATTTCTTGTAAAACCTAAGATATTCTTACGCTTTCATTATTAAGAACTTAAGATTGGATTTTAAAAATTTAAAAATTCGATGAATTCAGAAGAAAATAATTTTAAAAAAAAATTCATTTGTAGTTCTTAAAATTTACCATAGTTACAAGTTTGTATAGCAATTAGCAACACATACAATATAACTATATGAAAGATATAATAAGTATATTTATTTACTTGAAAGTATAGTTATTTATATTTATTAAGTAATAATTTTTTTTCTATCGACATTAGTTAAAAGAAAAATAATGATAAGAAAGTAAACTTTTTTCAAATTTTTTACAATTTCGAATTTTTTTTTTATGAAGCATTTGATTTGGATTACGTGACTCACAATTAAGTCGTTTAAGTCATATTACTCGAATCATTGATTCAAATCACTGACTCGAATCATGTGACTCAGATTCCTGATTCAAATCATATGATTCGGATTACTGATTCATACGATTTGGGTTACTATTCGAATCAAGTGATTCATATCAAAGATTCAAATCATGTGATTCAGATCAATGATTCGAATTAAGTGATCAAAGTCAAATGATTCAAATTACTGACTCAAATCATGTGAACTCTATTATTCATGTTTTACTTTTAAATCACTGAATTCAAAACATCCTTCTCTGAATCTTTCTACACGAATAGGGTGATCATTATAACATTGCAAATCAAAATTTGACTGTTGTTCAGTAGCTTCAGAATATAAGAAAACAAAATTAGTGAGAGAAGCTTAATGACCACACTAGTTTCACTTTTTCTTATTGGCGAATTACATACATTTTCAGAGCTGTAACTTATTGTTTCTGGTCTAAACCTCTTCGTAACGGGCAAGTCATTAATGCGATTGTACCAAATCAGAATAGAAAAAAATAGTAGAAAACTGTAGGTTAAAAATAGCCATGGCTAATTTAATATACTTATTTTTATTACATATCTGATAAATGTTAGTTCAAAGTGAACCTACACAATTTTTTCAGGCTAATTAGTAATGAATTAAATAAATTAATCTATTATCAACCACCCACAAATAAATTAATAAAAAAAATAGTTTTGTTTCTCAATTTACCTTTTTTTTTCCTGATTGTCTTCACCCTGAAACTGCATGCATGGCTTGCCAGTCTCGAAGAGTTAATTCTAACAAATAATTTTGAATTTCCTTCTCTTCAAAAAATATTAAAAAACTGATGAAGAAAAAAAACTCTCCAGCAGAAATGATTAATACAGCTAAAAATAAAATATTCGCTTTTATCGCGGACAAAGCGATGCCAACTTCACCAGAATCGCCAAAATATTTCAATATACGGTAGCCTATTGACGGTAGCCAACCTACGAATTAAAATTTGCAAATTTTTGGTTGACTTCGCCAATTTTTTAGAACGGGAAAGAGCGTTCGCCTTCCAATGAGGTGATCCGGGTTCTAATCCCAGTGATGAGAGGCCGATACGAATTCCGCATCCAGCTTGCATCGACCACAGTGCTGACATAAAAATATCCTCATTGGTAGACGGATCACGGGTTAGAGTCCCCTTCATGTCAGACAATCCGCGGGAAGTTTTCGCATTTTTCCTCACCATGGTACGCAAATGCTGGTTAGTTCCATCAAAAAGTCCTCCCCAAAGGAAAGTTTCTCCTAAACCTTTATCCAGAATTGTCGATGTATTCCGGATTGGGTTTAAAATTACAGTTGAACATAAGTAGTTGTAAACCCAAAGATTGGGTTGACTGCTCAACGACAGTTATAAAATATAATAAAATGCTTTAAAAGGCTCATCACGACTTAGCTCTAACAAAGGGACGTATCATATAAGCCATTGGGATAAGCCATAAAAACCTTATGTATCGAACTTACTAAATTAAGAATCATACATTGAAAGACTACCACACCAAAATATGTATCCGCTGTCCGGAGCAAGTTGGCATCTCCGTATAAGGCATTTATGAAGGAGCTCTAAGTATTTTCTTTATAAAATTTGTTATTTCACACAGGATATATTCGCATACTCTTTTGCTCAAAAATATTATTGTTTAACTATAAATTTCTAAACCCCTTATTACGAAACTTATCACTGAAATGTAACATATGTAATGTAAACATATCACTCTACAGGTCACTAAACTGTATCTTTACCTTGAAACTGTTTCTTTTTTCTTTATAAGTGAACAGTTAAATGGTACTTACAAAATAAAAATAATCTAATATTGCTGATCTCTGTAACACAATGCCGCACAGTGTTAACACGAGCCAGAAAACTGATAGAGCATATGAAGTAGCCACTCCACACATCTTATGTCGAAGCATAAGCTTTATGGTTAAGATCTGAAACACAAATAAGCCGTATAAGGTGACTGAACTTAGTGAGTTAACATTGCTTCGAAAAATTATTAAAATAAGTCTCAAGTTAAATATGATTAAGATTACTAACTATACGCTTACCTAATTTTAAACACTTTTAGGGCAGCAATCACGCGTCTTTGTCCCACCCTCTGCGTTTAGAGTCCACCCCCCGACTACTAAATTTGAAACAAAGCGCAAATTCCTTTTAAACTTGTTTATTTTACTTTTAATTAATATTTAATAATCAATTGTAATCAATAACCATATTCACTAATACAACAATAGAGCACAGCGAATATTCCTGGTTGACGAGTTATCTCGTCCGTCGCAATGAAAGAGTTACTAAACACAGTGGCGCGACAGCCCATAGAGAGTCAAGGTCTACTGTGCCGACCTCAGCTTTCCTGACCTTGGGCTCTGTGGTTCAGGAGCAGATGTTCCGGTTAGAAGGTCGGCCGAGCGCGGAACCCCCAGTGTTTAGTTCCCAAGCATGCTTTTTACTCTATCTATCGATCGAATCAATCTATCGATCTCAATCAATCTATCGAAATGATGAAAGGCTGAGTCGACCTTGCCAGGCCCGAACTCGTTAATTTTACTTTAAAAAATAATAATCAATTGTAATCAATAACTATATTCAGTAATACAGCAATAGAGCACAGAGAATATTCTTGGTTGAGGAATTATCTCGTCCGTCGCACTGAAAGAGTTAAAGGATGTGAAAATAAGATTTAAATAAGTTAAGAATTATTGGAATAGTCAATTTTACGCTTGAATCGTTGTTATTAAAAATATGAATGTAAACCTTGATAAATTTAATATTTTAGACATTTAATACCATAAACTTGCATGGCCATTGAAGGATATAAAAATGAGTCTTAAATGTTGAATATTATAGAGGTTGCAAATTATTTACATTGCTTTCGAGGGCTAAAAAAATAAGCTTAATATGTTGGATATTTAAAGCTATAAATTTACATTGATTTCTAAAAATATTAAAATGTGTCTTTAATGTTGAGTTGTTGTCCTCCTACATCAGAAAGCCTCTACACGGTTTTTAATAAGTAGTCTGCGCAGACTATTTAAAAAGTGAACCAGTTTTGCGCATGAACCCAAATTTTTTTTTAAAAGTAATTGAGAAAAATTTATCATATATATTTGAGAATTTAATCTGTAGTGCTTGACAAGTGAATAAGACAAACCAATCATATTCATAATTTAAACAAATTTTTAGACGTATATTTGCTACCACTTTCTTATTTTTACTAGATTTTGTATTAAGTGGCTCTTTCATTAACTGGTTTACCTTCGAATCTGCTGCTCTCAGTCTATAAGTCTAACCTATCTTATAATGGTCCAATCAAACTACATATAAGAAATCGTGTGGAGGCTTTCAAAAGCGTTGTCATTACGGAGGTTATAAACTGAAAGTTTATTTATTTAAAGAAGATGAAAATTTCACTTACAAAAAGAAGAATTTTAGAAGATGAAGCTACGAACGAGGAATGAGGAACACCGACATCTGAGATTTTCAAATGAATATTTGTACTACACTGAATTATGCTCACAATCAGAAGGCTAAATGACAACACCTGTGAATGATAAATTGAAATAAAAATAGAAGCTCTTAATGTGTTAATAAAAATAGAATGCAGGAAAAGAAGAAGGGGTGAAAATTCTATTTGTTTCATAAACCGTAAATTAAACACTAAGAATGGTCTTTTCACACAAACAGAATTTCCTATTTGAAGATCACAAAGGGTTTACCTGTATGTCCATTTTTTTGCAAACATGACGATTGAATCTACGGCTGTTTCTTTCTGAAAACTTTATTTTTATTTTATAACCGTCGTTGAACAGCAGACCCAATTTCGGATTTACGACTACTAATGTTCAACTCCGTAGCCTTGTTATTTTGAACCCACTCCAGAAGACAAGGGAACTCCTGGATCATGTATAAAGAGAAACTTGCCTTCATGGAGGACTTTTTGATGGAACTAACCCTCATTTGCGTTACATGAAGAGGAAAACCACGAAAACCACCCATGATTAGCCAAACGGCAAAGGGATTCTAACCCATGATCTGCCTACCACTGACAATATTTTGCGTCAGCACTGAGGTCGGTGCGAGCCGGGGGTTGAATTCGTACCGAACGGCCTTCGCTGGGATTCGAAACCCCGTTCACCTCATTGGAAGGCGTACACTCTATCGCCTGAGCCACCACGACTCCTTTTTGCCTCCGAAGAGGACTTTTGATGGAACTACAAGGGGACTCTAACCCATGATTCGTCTACCACTAAGGGTATTTTACGGCAGCACTGTGGTCTGTACAAGCCATTTGTGTAATTCGTATCAACCAGCCATTACTGATATTCGAACTCGGTTCACCGCATTGCAAGGCGAACGCTCTATCCCCCCAATCGCTACCGATGACAATCAGTTCTTCCCAAGAATTATTACACAGTGCAGATGTATAAGTGAAAAACGATGCCCCGTTTAAACGCTTGAGGAATCATCATTCCTGTTCATCGAGCTGTTATGGCATCGGGCTGAAATTTTTAAATTAATTTGGTGAAACATTTCTCTTGTTCTTATACCAAAATATTTCATGTCTATATATTTCCTAATCGGCCAACAAGAATACTTAAGGGGGGGGGGAACAGACGACTTCAAGATATCCTACAAAACGTCTTTTGTGGCAACTGCATACCTGCTATATCCCCTTAAAAATAACGAACCACTTCATCTGTCAAACCATTGCAGTGGCAAAAAGATGTGAAAACCAATATTAATAAGCCATCACCACTGATAACATAGAACGAAATCTTTACGACACTAGTGTCCCCATATAGGAAGCTAAACATCAAAACTTACAGTTTTTAAAAGTTTTTTGAGAAATCTGAGTTGCGAGTATTTTATAAAAACCTCTGCATTTTGAATGTATCTCAGAAAAATGAAAGACGAGGAGGCGGAAAAATGAACAAATCAGAGTATTGTGAACACTACTGACTCCTAAATGTTACGGGAATTTCGGTGAGGAAATTATTGATTAAAGAGGTTTTGGGGGAAAAACGAAACTCGTTTTTCGAACTTTATTATTATTATTTTTTTTAAAACATGTAGTTTCTTGATCTTCACAAATATTAGGAAAATTATTACGTATACAGAAGTCAGATATGTGCAAGATAATTTTTACCTAACTTAAAGTGTTGCAAAATGACGGAATACTTCAAATTGCTTTAATAAATGTCTCGCTACAACTTGAATATTTTGGATGAACTTTTGAGAGTTCCGCTCTTCAAGTGTTGAAACATGTTAACTCTTTGACGCAAATTTTTATTAAACATATTTTTCATAATTGTTTCATTATTTTGTATTAATTTAGGTCGAAATAATTGAAAAATATTGTTAATGAAAATAATATATATTAGCAGTTTGCTAATTTATGAAATACAACATAAAATACTGATGCCCTTTTTCTGCGTTAAAGGGAAAACTTCCCAAACACGGCTCAATTCTAAATAATAATTTTCCAATTTTGTACTGATTTACAGTTACTTAGATCGAAGAGAAACAGTTATTCATCAGTGAAATTTCTTTAATTCACAAAATCAATTATTGGTAAATTTTTGAATATGAATAAGGGAAAAAAATTTCAAACAGCTCTTTTTGGATTTTATATTTTAATATAAATATAATTTCGATAATATAACAGATTTTTTAATAGCCGTGAGACTGTTTTTATTGCTAATTTTAAAAAAAATACCGGTGTCCCATCGGCGTCAAATGGTTAATGGCATCGATATGGTGTCAATTTATGATTAAGAAGTAGCAGCAATCCTACAATTATCTATGCAATTACGGATAATTTTCTTGAGTTTTTTTTTCTTTTTATCTTCAGCCCTGAAGCCACAGAACTGGTGATTAACCGGAATTTTTTAAATGCATAATCTTTTTCATATTATTTCTTGCCAGCAAAATCAATGACAGGAGAACAATATTAATTTGACTATTAAAATAATTTTTACACTGAGCCCTTTTCATATTGCCATATTATTTTACCCAATTTTCATTTTTATCACTCTCAACAAATAATGGTATATTTAAAATGATGCTTACCAGTTTTGAAATATTCAGCCATGTCCACGGTAGTGGATTCAGGCTTTTTCGTTTTCTTAATCGCCATATGCAGTTGATGAATATAAAACTGAAAATTGCAGCTGGAATAATTACAAATATGACATCTTGAAAACAACTTGAAAAATCTGGTACCTGCGAATTCCATGTTTGATCCAAATCCTGAAGGAGATTTCAGGTTACTATACATCACTTAAAGAACGAGAAAATGTTAACTATTTTAAAAAAATTTTGGAGGATGAAAGTTCTCAATACGTTTAACCCTTTCGCGAAGACTGTCACACGTACATGCCAGCAAGAAACGCACTCACATCCCGACCAACACGCCGGTGTGCCAGAGCGTTTTAACGTTCACCCCCGGCCGTCACTCATCTGTGCCAGTGTCTTGGAACGTTTTAATAAACTAAATTCTGCCAGAAGAAGGCATTGTATGTCCATATGGTTTCATATACATGTAGATTTGACCTTCTATCAAATGAGAGTAGTATGACTCACATACACGTGGTTTTTAGGGGAAAGGAGGAGAAAGAAGTGTTTTATGACGGCTCATTATATTCGCGCGTGGTATTTGTTTACAGTAAACAGGGGAGGTTGTTTCCTTTTTCGCAACAGCGTTATGTATTTCGATTTACAGTCCAGTTTTTAGTGCAATGTTAGTGTTTTGAAAAAAGAATTTTAAGTCATATATTTACTTTTCAGATATATAATGTTAAAAGGTATTAAATGGTAAGTACATAATGAAAATAAAATGTGTAAAATATATATTTAAACAAGAAATGACATAAGTAAATAAAATATCTATAGAAATATATATAAAGTAGATATCATTTAAATACTCTGCAGAACATTATCAAACAACTAGTTGATATTTCGGCTATTTCATGGATTTAGGCTTAATAGCAAAAAACCCTCCGGCCCTGAACACAAAGAATACAGAGGGGAGGACCCTCCCCTCTATATTCTTTGACGGAGTTACGATTTCTCCCTAGCTTTACTTCTTCTCCCCTTTATATTCTTTGCCTGAACAGACACTCGCGAGAGAGACTACCGGCCTCAGCGATAATCGCACGTTTGCGCTTCCCGTCGCGAAAGGGTTTCCGTTTAACACGTTCACGCCGGGGTGACCTACCGGTGGGTCACGCTAGATTGTCTTATCTTGGCAGCACACGGGAGTAAAAACTGGTAACAATAAATTTCAATTTTTAGTTTTTTTCCGGGAATAATAAAAATTCATAACTACCAATTGTTTTTAACGGATGCAATTTTTATATTGAATTGCTTCTTCGCCGAGATAAATTTCCTTACAATGAATTGTTATTGTTGAGAATAGTTTAATTCCTCCCGATTATTATCTAATATTGAAATAGTTCTTCTACCAGTATTTTCACTTTTCACGGCGTGAACCCGTAAATACACTTTCATTTGGTTCTTAGGATAGGTAACATAATTACACTGTTAATAACAGAAAATAATTTAAGAAGTTCTCCTTTGCCAAATGTTATAAAATAACGATAATATAACATCAGAAATTTAAAAGAAAAAAATTTTACCTTTTAAGAAAACAAACTTACATTTTATTAATAAGTTCATAGTTAAATTTTATTAAAAACTGAAATATAATAAAACAATTATAGAATAAAATTTACAATGCGAATGAAAATATATAGGTAAGATACGATAAAAAAATTTATACCAATTTACTAGGGTAACATTTTGTTTTAAATTTCACCAAATCTTCGGCATTCTATGATAAAGTTAAAGTTAAAAACACTGGATTTAAAATGTTCATCAGCTTATATTTGTGTTAAATAAAGTTCAAAATGGAGTAGAAATAGAAGACTTATACCCATTCCTAAACTAAGAGATGAGACTAATTAAAAAAGAAAGAAAAATAGTTTTAAGAAAAATCAATTTAGGATGAGTTCTCGAGCCATTCGTTTAGTTATTTGCATTAGTTGCACGAGTTGCTACCCCCTAGTTTAAATGATTTAATAGTTTTTTTAAGGATTAGAACAAATAAGATAATAATTATAAAAATTTGGTATCAGTAATAAATAGTCATCATTTCATATTTGAGTCAGTTTTGCTTAGATAGATTTTTTTAAAACATGATCTATTGCAACTAAAAAAATATTATCCTAACTTACCCAAAATTTGTCTTGACAAAATCGATCCTTCATACTTTGTTAATCAGATTTTTTGTATCTTAACACTTTCTGATTGTCAATAAATACGGTGTTTTTACATGTCTTTTATAAACGTAATAATAATCTTTCACTATCAGCACCGTTTTTAAAAGACTCGACTTAGCATGTTTTGATTTGTTCAGCGCACGCGTAAGTCAAAGAGGAGTCTCACAAATATATCCTTTCTCGTTTCAACTCGTATCTAGTTGATTATAAACAAAAAAAAAACTGATTAATTTTGCCTCTCCTAGATATTATCTATTGAGAAAACAATTGATATGGACAAGAAAATGAAAAGTTGTGACTGTAGCGAATGAATGAAATTGAAGCAACTCTTAATAGAAGAGATAAAGTCGATTTACAAAACATTGTGTAACTTTGTCTTTTGTAAATTTCTTCAGTTATCAACAATATAGATTTTTTTTTTCCATTTCCTGCTTATGACATAAATAAAAGCAAGCATGAATTAATATGAAACTAACAAAGCAACTAAAAATATTTTTTCTTTAAATAAAAAAAAAAATTAAAAAGGATCTTACGATTTAGTTATTTGCAATTATAATTTTATTAAATTGCGCTTTATAAGCAATTTCTCTTCAAAAGTGTAATAAAATTCTTAAACATGCGCTTTTCTTTTTTTTTTTTTCCTTTCATTTTCACTTATTGACCCTTTGCGCTCTGATGTCTCCACTGAGGCACCATCAACAGTCACCACTTTAAATTTAAGAATTTCACACCTTATTTATTAGTAACCACATTCAGACCTGCCAACTTTTAATCCCTTCCATTACCATTTTTCCCAGTGGTATTAAAATGGAATTAAAACTTCAATTTTAAGCAAGCAAATACGTTGTTTTTGAAAAAAATTAAGTTGACAACCAATGATAGTAACGCATATTAATATATAAGCTTAATTTTTGTAAGAATAGTGGTGATCAAAATCATTTAAAAATTAAATTTATAAAAGAAAAAATAGTATATATTCACTACCACTTTAAATATGAAAAAAAAATCTCCCGCAAAATCCGGGAGAGTTGGCAGGTATGCACATTAATTTTGAAATTATATTATAGTACTAAATTGCGTATTTTAAATGCTGTGGTGCAGATATTAGATCAAACAGCATCTAAAATTTCTCCGAGTGCAAAGGGAAATTTGAAAGAAGCCTTTTCAACCCATTAATAACTAGGCTCAAAATGTGGTCTACAATTACAGGAATATAAATGCATGCCTGCCAAGTTTTACGCATTTGGTGTAAAATTTTATTTCTGTGTATAAAGTGGTAGTAAAATGTATGCTTTAGATATATTCCTTGCATTTATAAACTTAATTTATAATATTTTTGATCCACCACTATTTTTAAATAAATTAACCATACATAATAATATGTAATACTATTGTATCCCTTCCATTATCATTTTTCCCAGTGGTATTAAAATGAATTTAAAACTTCACTTTTAAGCAAACAAATACGTTGTATTTGAGAAAACTTAAATTGACAACCATGATAGTAACGCATATTAATATATGTACTTAATTTTTGTAAGAATAGTGGTGAACAAAATCATTCAAAAACTAAGTTTATAAAAGAAAAAATAGTATATATTTACTACCACTTTAAATATGAAAATAAAATCTTCCGGAAGAGTTGGCAGGTATGCTATTGTAGTAATCCACATAAGATTCTTTAACCCCTTAGGGACGGGTGATTCAGAAAAGCATTCGTACAAAATCAGAATCAAGTTGCAATTAAATAAAAAACGGTAACTTAAATGTAGTCGTTACTAATTTGACAGACTTACTTTGCTTTTATTTTAATTATTGTTAGTTTAATCATATATATAATCAATGTTAATTCAACGTATAACTAAATAGTTTTATTTTGAACAAAGTAATGGTGAATTAAATAAATTAAAAAATTATAACTCCGCCTACAAATAAACTGCTAAAGAAATACTTTGATTACCAGTTTTATCTTCTTACCCTGATTGATACGGTTTTTTGCTGTCACGTATTTGTGACAGTCGGCGCGAAAGGGTTAAAATACAGCGATTGTTTCTGCTAAAAATTGTAAGTTAAATTTCATTTTACTACCACTGGGGAAAATCATCCTTCAAAGGATTATAAGTTGGCACGTATATAAATGGTACTACATATCTGCTTAGGCCAAGTGAATATTTCATTCTGTTGTATATCACTTACGCTTTAAAAATACACTAATAGTTGACATCAAATCCGAATATAAATATTTATATTTCGAATAAAATGTGGTAGATTGAACTATTTTTCTGGAAAATAAATCTCAAAAGAATGACATAACTGTACTATCACTTTTTTCTTCTTTTAAGAAAAAAATCGTCCTCTTAAAATTACGCTAAGCACAAATGGGTTAACAACCATTAAAAAACTATTTACTCATTTTTTAAGTACCACTACTTAGAACTTCAGATAATGTATGATAGATGTTGTATATAATATTTATGCATAACAATGAAAAAAGAAAAAAATAATATTAAAAATGATAAATACCCAAAAAGAAGGGGGGAAATTAATAAAATCCAGAAAATAAAAGATATAATCTTTTCATCAGCTCACACGATTATAACCGCAAAAAGGAATGCTTTCTAATATTGTATCAATAAAGACAAAGCGAAGTATATCAATACAATAGTGTGAGGAGCTCTCAAAAAAAAATTTGAAACAAATAAAATAGAACACCTAAGATTAAAATATCGCGTCAAAACAGAATATAAAATGGAAAGAAAAAGAAAACAGAACAAAGCATAAAACAAAATCTATAAAGCAAGTAGCAAATTCAAATGAACTTACGAAAATGGGAAATTTTTTAAGAATGATTTAAAATATTTTCGTAACAAGATTGCCAGATTACAAAATATGAAAACAGAAGACAAATTGAGGTAAAAGTGTAAATAGAACGGTTTTGTTTATAGAGCGTTTTGAGTGCAGTACTAAAGTGCTATTGTTAGTTACCAAAGATGGGCCCGAAAATGGATGTGCGCAAGGTAATATTATACTGGATAATTTAAAGAAGTTGAAAATTAATTTCAGGAGAGATATATTAAGCTTAAAATATAAAATGTAATTAAGTTTTTAAAAGACACTGGTCTCTAGCAGCTAAATATCAAGTTAAGATATATTTACCTCTCAGATATACTACTACTTATTCAAGGCACTCTAAAAACATGCACAGCTTAAAACTTGTAACTTTTAGAGATGACATTAAAAGAAGTGCAAAATCTGACTTTATTGTCAATTTGCAACTGAAATTTTATTTTCTTCAAAAAATTGCATTTCATAAAGCAGTATCTTCAATTCCAGTGAACACAAAAAACAAAAAAAAACAAGAGATATATAACTTTATCAAAATTTCTTAGAATGCATTTATATACCTGCCACTCTTCCGGATTTTCCTTAAGATTTTATTTTCATATTTAAAGTGGTAGCAATACTCAGCTTATTCCAATTCTTTTGAATTATAATGATAATTATAAATGAGTCTGACCACCACTACATATAAATAATTACAATAAATATATAAAAGCATAATGATCCTTCCGCATACCCTCCAACTGCTACGGAATTTCCGTAGTTTCAGAAATCTTCTTTTCTAACGGTAGCAAAATTAATGTCTTAATATTTAAAAAAAATTAATTTTAGCGTAACTTATCCACTATTACTTATAAAAGTGCAGGCCATTCTTAAGTTCTGATAAAAGTTTTATGAGAGATCCATTTGCTTTAAAAATTTCTACTTTGGTTCGCTACCACTAGAAAGAATTATTTTCAAAATCCTCATAAGTTGGAGGGTATGCTTCCGTAAGCGAATTTCAACGGGATCAAAATATAAATATATTTCTGAATCATATTGTTTATCGTATATTGTTTTACAGCCAATCTAATCCATTCTCGGAAAGAGTGAAAGTTGGCAGGTATGCATTGCATTTATTTTCTTTTTCTTTAGGAAGTTTAAATTGTAAAGCAGGTGTGGTCAACACTGTGCACCGCTTTTAGTGTAAAAAATCTTGTATGTGGCAATTATTAATAGAAATTTTGTGTCAAGTCAACATGTGCTACCGTGTTAATATTGTTCATTGAATACGTACAGTAACTTTCTTTCCAGATTAAATAAAGCTATAAGACGGTAGTCAAAACTGGTAGCCTACCTATTTTTATAGCAGCTTATTTGTGGGCGGGAGAATAATAGTTTGCCTTACTTAATTCACCACTACTTAGTTCGAATTAAAAAATTGCATAGTTACACTCTTAACACTTACGGATTGGATGAGTTAAAAGATTTAAAGTGAAAGCAGAAATAAGTCTGCCAAATTAGCTAAGTTTAGACTTAAGCCACCGCTTTTTATTTTTTACTATCCTAATTCTGATTCCATACGAATACATTAATGACTCGCCCGTCCCGAAAAGGCTAAAGATATGTTTATAGTTAAATTGAACAAAAAAATTTTGATAGCTCTAATATGAACATGGTCATTTAGCACATTTTAAATCACATATACTAAGATCAAAACAATAAATAACAAATCGACTATAATCTAAGATTGAACACGGGCTAGCCATATGGAGAGACAGTATACTTGATTCGATAGCATGCTAATGGCGTAAATTATTAAGAACTTATTATTGCTAAAAGAACAAGCGAAAGCTTCCAGATTCGCTTGAGAAACGGATTTGGATAGTAAGTTATAAAGCTGTTAAGTACTAAAGAAATAACTTTTTCTAAAAAAAAAATTACCAGTTTTTTTACAGTTTATATTTTATCGTATTATATAAATTGACTTCATTCTCGTTGTTTCTTGCTTCTATTTTTCCGAGAACGAAATATAGATTAAAGGTTATTCTGCCGTTAGAAACGGAGAATAGCTGGAATTTGAATTGAAGGAAGCACTTTACCGTTTCTCGCCGATTGTCACAAAAACGTGCCAGCACAAAACTGTATCAATCAGGGTGAAAATATAAAACTGGTAACCAAAGTAGAGTTCTGTAGCACTTTATTTGTGGGCGGGGTTATAATTGTTTGATATACTTTCACAATTACTTTGTATAAAATAAAAGTATTTAGTTATACTTTGAACTAACATTGATTATATATATAATTAAAGTAAAAGCAAAGTCCGTCAAACTGGCAACGACTACATTTAAGTTATCGTTTTTTATTTTGTTACATTCTCTCTTTGTACGAATGCTTTTCTGAATCACCCGTCCCAAAGGGGTTA